ACTTGGTTTTGAGCTTTAATAGCACCTTCTTCTTTCTTTCTGTGCGTGCTTTCGCTTCAGCTGCAGGATCCGGAAGCGGAACAGCCGATGCGCTGGTGGAATCAAGACGGGGGCGTTTGAGACGCTTGTAGACGAAACCATCGTCGTTGACCCATTTAGCCACTTACAGAGATCATCGATGACATGGCATGGCTGATGGGGCAAATCTTGATGATGTGGCATTGAAACCTGCTATAATAGGTGAAGGTGACTAAAAAGACAGGTTGCTCACTACTTCGTTTCCTTACAAAGCCACAAAATAAGTTAAGTGGCTAAATCGGTAAATCCTAGAAACATAATAGGGTCTATATGTCATTTTTCCTATTATATACATATGTTTTTGTACATTACGCACGTGTGTATACATATATATACACACGTGGTGATTATTGAGTTTGTATGTGCACATGGTGATTATTAATATTGCAGGTTTCCTTCCCTGGACAAGGGGAGACACAGTCCACAGTTGAGAAAACCATAGCTGGAGTGGCTCTCATACTTGCGATACTTCAATGTGATCCTCCTCCCTTTTACCTGTTCAATGGGATCATTGCTAAACTAGAAGATACCAAGTATCGACATGCAGTCACAAGAATCCTTTTTATCGTAATTTAATTTTTGTTTATATCTTTACACTGGAGAAGGACTTTCCAAGATGAGGATGTGGATGGGCAGGGGCATTTATGTCTTTTGCACAGACGAGAGACCAGTTGCAATTTTTATCCCTCGTGCCATCTGTTCCGGTCCTAGTCCAAACACAACTAAAACTATCCCGTCTGCATACTAAAGTTTCTTTTCTTTTTAATATTGTCGGTATCCTTGACATCTTATATCTAGATATCATTTCTTCTTTAAATGAAAAGACCCAATTCATTGTATCATGGCCTGAAGCGCAAAAAATTGCTGACAAGAAATATTCTTGGGTGGACGGAGAGCCGGTTTGAGGCCATCATGTTCATGTTCATGTTTCCAACTCGGGACGCATTATCAACATTTAATTTTCCTTACTGTTTAATTCATATTTTTGCGTAACATATGATGCACACATTTCTATCATGTCACCATGTCTTTTAATTTGTTTTCCATTACAAAAACTTTTTTGTGATCACAACTTTCGTATTTAATGCCAATATTATATCCCTTGTTGATGTCGTGTAACTGTTTTGTTTTTTTACCGGTCATGGTAAAGGTTGGTCGTTAATTTGGGCTAACTGGTATTGTTTTCATGCTGTCGAATTTTGCTTGTGCTCATGCTGTATCTCTAGCTTCTTGCTAGATTTTAGCATTTATAGATGCATAATTGAATGCCTTTTTCGGAAATGGTAGTTGTCATTTTATGTTCAAATTGAATTGAATTTCATAACTCGGCCTCCCGGTCGGTATAAACTCTTTTTTGTAATACAGATAACAAGTTTCTTTTTTGGCACTTTTTTAAGCTAAACTGTTTTTGACGGGGAACCAGTAAGTAATAGGAAAAGAAAGACAAAAATTTATTCACCTTTTTCATGTTTTCCCCAAACTTGTTTGAAACATCATATGATATATAAATTATAATTTACCATGTCAAAATCTATTTTAACTTTTACTTTTAATATAAGGAACTTATGGTCTGCTGAAGAGACGATTCCATTGACAGTCAAATGACTGTCATGAATGTTTTAGTAGTTGTTATATGTTGATTGCACATTACTAAGACTAGGGATGAAATGTTCAGTCTTTATCTAAAGGGTATAGAGTTATAAAGCTTATATAGAATATTGATGTGTATTTTTTATACTAAAAATATTATGTTTTAAATTTATAGATCCTTAATCTATCATGACTTTATCAATACACACAGATAATAAACCTGATTGAGTATAATATAGTTCTTATAAATAAGGGTGTTGGACTCTGGTGAACAGGTATGACTAATAACAGATTAAATTAATTGAAATGATAAATAAAATTGGGGAAGGGTGTGTGTTTAAACTTATCTTTTATACTTCACTTCTACTTAGATAAGACGATTAGCAATTAGGATCAAATTACTAATACTAATGATTAATAAGCAACTAATTTAATGGTTATAAAACTAGCAACTTATTTAGGGTGGAGGGAGTGGTGCCACCAAAACCGCACTCCTTTCGTTGCCACATAAGCGCCACATCACTTTTTACCACAAAAGTGTGGTTCTTTGCCACACTTTATTTAAAAAAAATTAAATAAAAACTTTATTTTTCTCCCCACCCAATCACAAAACGGTCAAATTCTCCCTACCCAATCACAAATCGCGACCATTTTTTACCACACTGCGGTCTAAACCGCACCTAAGGGCGGTGTTCGCTGCCTAGGTGGCGAAACCGCACTCCCTCTACCGCACCACTCCCCCAAGTCTAAAAACCAATTTAATTAACAAAATTCCTTATGAATTAATTGAATGTCTACTCTTTATTGATCATAATGATAAACCAAGCATAATTGGTTAAACCAATGCTCTCTTAAATGCCAAAATTAACAACTAATATTATTTTACTTCATAGGATTTATTTAATCGTTAGTCCTAACAGTTTATGTTCAAAACCATTAAGATTCAAGTTACAATATTTAGATTTTTTTTTTGAAAAGACAAACTAACTACCCTACTCCTAAATAACCACCTATATATATCTCCACCGAGACTTGAAACTATAATCTCTAATTTGATAGAGTCACTCCTTACCGCTAGACCATTGGCCCTTTGGCAGGGGCGGCTCAACCAGATTTGGGGCTCTAAGCGAACTAAAAACTTGGGGCCCTTTCGTTCCAACCCTGATTCTATATTGTGTAATAAAAACAAATATAAAAGTGAAGATTGTCTTTTTTTTCTGTTTAAACTTGAACTGTTTTAATTAAAAGGAGAAGTCAAACTTGCAGGATTATTTTAACTCAAAAATACACAACTAAACACAAAAATCAATAAACAAGCCAGAAGCCATATACATAGAAATTGATCAATAGATAATAACCAACATTCCTTAGACTGCTCATAACAGGAGAAACATTTTCCCTATTTGACTTGCATATCCAAGTATTTCTATTTAATATGCTAAGAAAAGAAACATTTTATATAAAAAAGTAGTTATAGTCAATTCATGAATCAATAGAATACCTCGACAAATTTGGTAAACACAAATTCTCAAAAACACAATTCACAAGATGTAAACAAATTAAGGTTTAACGGTTTAGTTCACCAAATCATATAAATCTTGTAATACCTTGACAAGTACTAAACATATTAAGATTCAGTTTACCAGCAACACAAAAAATGAATGGAAATACAAACTCAAAAAATCAAAAATCAAATAGCAACAAAGAAATCAATAATAGAAGGGTATCAAGTGAAAACAGATAATAAAAAAACCGACTATTAACCCTAATAGATAATCAGATAATAGAAAAATCAAGTGAAAAAACACAGCACATACCTTAATCACCAGAGAAATTCATCGGTCTAAATAGTAGCCGAGAATGGAGGAGGAAGAAGAACAGAAGCTATTTCAGCGGTTCAATCTTTCTTTCAGTGTTTAACAATTCAAGAATCGAGATTGAAGAAGCCTACTAGAATCGAGAAAGGGGAATCAGTCAATCAAAGATTCAGTTCGCAAGAATGGAGAAGGAAGGAAGAAGTGTGATCGTCGCTTTTGATTTGAGGCGTCTTATGCGTATCAACGAATGCAGAAGCCGAGAAGAAAAACATGGAATCGACATTAAAGGATTTTTGTTAAGTGGGGCCCCTTAAAAAATGGGGCCCTAAGCCCTAGCTTATATTTTCAATACATCAGGCCGGCCGTGCCCTTTAGTTACAATAATAAGATAGTCGAAATTACATGAAACTTAGTTGTAAGTAATAAAAATATGAACTTTAACAAGTAAGCAGGGGCGGACACAGGAATTAGTAGTAGGGGTTGCACAATTTTTTTTTTCCGGTCAAACATAATATAAAACATTAAAAATAAAATCCGGTCAAACATAATATAAAACATCTAATACAAATTTTTTTTCTGGTTAAACATAATATAACAACGATCTATTAGAATTTAAATTTGTCCTCTTCGTGCAG